AAAATCAACATAGAAAAATCATTAGCATTTCTATACACTAATAATGAACAACCTGAAAAAGAATGTATGAAAACAATTCCATTTACAATAGCTTCAAAAAAAATCAAATACCTAGGTGTAAACCTAACAAAAGATGTGAACGACCTCTACAAGGAAAACTATAAACTTCTGAAGAAAGAGATTGAGGAAGACTATAGAAAGTGGGGAGATCTCCCATGCTCACGGATTGGTAGAATCGACATAGTAAAAATGTCTATACTCCCAAAAGTAATCTACATGTTTAATGCAATTCCCATCAAAATTCCAATGACATTCATTAAAGAGATTGAAAAATCTACTGTTAAATTTATATGGAAACACAAGAGGCCACAAATAGCCAAGGCAATACTCAGTCAAAAGAACAATGCTGGAGGTATCATGATACCTGACTTCAAACTATATTACAAAGCAATAACAATAAAAACAGCATGGTACTGGCACAAAAACAGACATGAAGACCAGTGAAACAGAATAGAGGACCCAGATATGAAGCCACACAACTATAACCAACTTGTCTTAGACAAAGGCGCTAAAAATATATGATGGAGAACTAGCAGCCTGTTCAACAAAAACTGCTGGGAAAACTGGTTAGCAGTCTGCAAAAAACTGAAACTGGATCCATGTATACCACCCTATACCAATATTAACTCAAAATGGATCAAGGATCTTAATAGACCGTAAACTCTAAAGTTGATACAGGAAAGAGTAGGAAATACTCTGGAATTAGTAGGTATAGGTAAGAACTTTCTCAATGGAACCCCACCAGCACAGCAACTAAGAGATAGCATAGATAAATGGGACTTCATAAAACTAAAAAGCTTCTGTTCATCAAAAGAAATGGTCTCTAAACTGAAGAGAACACCCACAGCGTGGGAGAAAATATTTGCCAGCTACACATCAGACAAAGGACTGATAACCAGAATATATAGGGAACTTAAAAAACCAAATTCTCCCAAAACTAATGAACCAATAAAGAAATGGGCAAATGAACTAAACAGAGCTTTCTCAAAAGAAGAAATTCAAATGGCCAAAAAACACATGAAAAAATGCTCACCATCTCTAGCAATAAAGGAAATGCAAATTAAAACCACGCTAAGATTCCACCTCACCCCTGTTAGAATAGCCATCATTAGCAACACCATGAACAACAGGTGTTGGTGAGGATGCGGGGAAAAAGGAGCCCTCTTACACTGCTGGTGGGAATGTAAACTAGTACAACCACTCTGGAAAAAAATTTGGAGGCTACTTAAAAAGCTAAACATTGATCTACCATTTGATCCAGCAATACCACTCTTGGGGATATACCCTTTAAAAGACTGTGACACAGGTTACTCCAGAGGCACCTGCACACTCATGTTTATTGCAGCACTATTCATAATAGCCAAGTTATGGAAACAGCCAAGATGCCCCAGCACTGACGAATGGATCAAGAAAATGTGGTATCCAAACAATGGAATTTTATGCAGCCATGAAGAACGAAATGTTATCATTCACTGGTAAATGGGTGGAACTGGAGAACATCATTCTGAATGAGGTTAGCCTGGCCCAAAAGACCAAATATCATATGTTCTCCCTCATATGTGGACATTAGATCAAGGGCAAACACAACAAGGGGTTTGAAAGTTGATCACAAGATAAAAGCGAGTGCACGCAAGGGAGATATGAGGATAGGTAAGACATCTAAAAAACTAGATAGCATTTGTTGCCCTCAACACAGAGAAACAAAAGCAGATAACCTTAAAAGCAACTGAGGCCAATAGGAGAAGGGGACCAGGAACTGGAGAAAAGGTTAGATCAAAAAGAATTAACCTAGAAGGTAACACACATGCACAGGAAATTAATGTGAGTCAACTCCCTGTATAGCTATCCTTATCTCAACCAGCAAAAACCCTGTTCCTTCCTATTATTGCTTATACTCTCTCTTCAACAAAATTAGAATAAGGGCAAAATAGTTTCTGCTGGGTATTGAGGGGGTGGGGAGGAAGAGGGAAGGATCAGAATGGATGGTAAGGGAGGGTGTGGGGGCAGGGGGGAGAAGTGACCCAAGCATTGTATGCACATATGAATAATAAAAAAATTTAAAAAAAATAAAGAGCTGAGACACTTGGAAAAAAAAGGGATATTTGAGAAGCATATCTAAGAATGAAGAAGTTTATCTGTCAGTGTCAGTGAAAGTTCATGTTTTGAGATGATAAGGATAGTGCCATTGTGACATCTACTTTGGTTATTGTTAGTTTGAGCATTATATAGTTTGATTCATATGTCAGAATATATAATAATCTTGGTTTATTTGTGTAAGTTATGCAAAGTGAAATTTTTCTCTTCCTTTCTCTCTTCCTCATAATTTTAATGGGTATTTCTGATGGTTTAGACCCAGGGAAGTCAGTTTCTAAAGGAATCATTTATAGTTTATCTTGAAGTTGGACAATATGGGGAGAACATTAACATGTTAAGATTTGTTTCCACATTTGTCCTACTTACAACATAAGAATCATAGATACCAAAGAAGGGAAATGATAGACCTGCTTTACCCCATCCCAATTTCCCCCTTGGAACAAAGGTCACCATTGCAGTCCTATTTTTGGACCCTCATCTTTGTAAGATAATTTTTTCTTTGAGGCTATGTTCCTTGGGATTGGAAAGCCCAGAAACTACTTAAATTCTTAGAAACTACTGTGGTGAAATCCACTGAGGTCTGTGCCTTCCCTGACCTGTAACGTTTAGGGATGATAGCAGTTGGCAAGTTTTGGCACTATAATCTGCAGTGTTTTTGTGTGAGGAAATTACAGGGAAACTGATAGTTTTAAATGCCCACATTAGAGAAAAGGAAAGACAGCTGGGTGTCATGGCCTATGACTATCATTCCAGCTTCTTGGGAGGATCAAGGAGGATTGTGGTTTGTGGCCAGCCTAAGCAAAAAGAATTAGCAAGAACCCATCTCAACCAACAAGCAAGGTGTGATGGTCATGCCTATAATTCCAGCTACATGGGAAACATAGATAGGAGGATCATAGTCTAAGAAAAATAGCTAAAGCAAAAAAGATATGGGGGGCACCACTCAAGTGGTAAAGAGGTCCTGAGTTTAAAACCTAGTACTGCCCCAAAAAAAAAAAGATTAGAAAAGAGGAAAGATCTAAGTATGTATTTTAATAAACTCTTATTTAAATGAAGGGTAAATTAAACACTCAGTAAATAGAAGGAAAAAATAATGACAATAATAGCAAAAATCAGTGAATTAGAAAATACATCAACAAAAAGAAAAAATAAAACCAAATGCTAGTACTTTGAAAAGATTAGACAAAACTTAGAAACAAGGGAATAGATAAAATATACTATATCTGTACAGTGAAGGACTACTCAGCAATGGACAAGAATGAACAACTATGACACACAACATGAAAGAATCTCAGAAACATTACACTGAATACAGGAAATCAGACACAAAAGAGTATATATTATATGATTCCATTTATATGAAATTCTAAAAAATGCAAAACCCATGTATTGTTATAAAAATTCAGGTCAATGGATGCCTGAGGAGGAAGTGTTAGACTACAAAGAGGCGTAAGTGATGAAAGTATTCTGTAATGGCAGCATTACATAATGCCCTGACTCAAGGAGTTATGCATATAAAATGTATGCTCTTCATTGAATATAATTCATACTTCAACAAAAACTATATGTAGAGAAAGTTCCAAACCCTGTACTTTGCCTGTTTTGGCAGATGGGAGATACCATACTTTACCCTTCCTATGTAATCTTTCTAGTAATGCATTGTGTTAAGCAAACTGGATAGGAATACCCGCAATAAAATGAAGCTTACCACGGGGGATACAATACATACCAAGATTCCAACAGGGTTCATTTGTGTTTGTCTTTTATAGATGTGGCAGCACCTGACTTTTTAAAAAATTCTAAGTTAATGATCAGTGAGTGAACCATGGTCCACAAAATCTTTGTCTTTTTTTTTTACTGCCTCTGATTTGAGAATGTTTTAAAAATTTTAAGTGATACCATGATTGTGTCTTAAAACTTAAAATAATTACCATATGGTCTTTTACAGAAAAGACTCTATAGTTTAATCAGCATACTTTACCTACTCATTTAGCCTCCTAAAAACTAATGTGTGGTATCTTTCGTCCATGTTTTTATTACAACCCCAGATGTTTGAGGTACTAGTTAGTGTATACTAAGTGTACCACCTTTTTTTCTTTCTTCTGAAGGTGGAGACGAATGTTAAATTGAATGGTGTGATAGTTACTTTTCAATGAGTGCTATATTTTCTATAAATGGCCTTCTTTTCTATATTTCAGGTGGCCTGGGTAGAGAAATGTTAAAATGTGGAATAGGCAGAGCAGCTGTAATAGTGAATGTATAAGTGGCACGAGGCCTCTCTTATGCATCCTGTAAAAAGTGCGGGCAATGCTAAATGTTTCTGCCTGTCCAGCAGTATAGATGTCAGGAACCATTTTTATTCTTTAGCCTTGTGGAACATGGTAGCATAGTTTAGAAGGTCTTTGAGAACTTCTAGAGGTTCTAAATGGGAAATTGTTTTGGTCTATCAAAGTAGCAGATCTGCACTATACTCTGGAAGCTTTGAGATTCCCCTTGCAGTGCATTACAATTCTCATATCAACCTTAGAATTGCCCTTGCCTCTCATCTGTACATACGTACACCTGATCTCAAACATAATGGATCTTTTTTGTTTAGTTGATCTGATCATTTCTTTATTTTCAAATTCTAAAGATGAACCTGTGATAATGGGACATCCAGAACTGTTTTACGAAGCACACGGTCCCTTTGGGGGATCCTCTCGCTAATGACATACATTCAAATTGAAAAAAATCAGTGGACTTGTGGTGGCTGGCCAAGGGACAGGAACAAGCAGCAACATTATGTGAGCTAACTGAGTTAAAATCTGTATGTATTTACAATCTTTCTTTTTACTGTCTTTCTTTAGGCCTACTCTGTGTATGATGAAGACATAGGGTACTGTCAAGGACAGTCTTTTCTTGCTGCTGTGTTGCTGTTGCATGTAAGTAACTTTCTACATGATAAGTAGCACAGTGCTATGCTGTTATTTTCTGCTTGGTTTTGTTCTTCCTTCTGATTTCCCATTTACCTGATTAAGATCCATGTGGTATATCATTTAAAAAATTTACCTTGGGTGATAAAGTAAAAATACCTGATGTCAAGACAGGACGGTTTTGCAATACAATTAATTTTGCTGGCTAGAAGCAAATAAATTGCTTATTTTGTAGTTATTTTTAACTAGCACCATCTAGAATGAAAGAGTCAACGTAACTGCCCATATATTCAAACCATGACACTATAAACCACTGTGTACTATGGCAAAGAAGTCTTATCCTTTTTGTGATTTATTTTTATATACTCTCTCTTCTGTCAGTCACCTTTATTTAGCATTTATTGAGCATCATTTGTCAGATCCTGGGCTGGAATGTGGGATTATAAAGATGAATCATTCATAATTTGTGTTCTTAAACACCTTATAGACCAGGTTGGGGCACAGATAATGTACATACAAACTTACTATTTTTATTCTCTTTCTGTGTCTTTATCAATTTTTCCGATGACAGAACTAACACATGCTCACTAAAGGACTCATAGTGTGCTAAGTCAAAGTGAAACACTGGTGAAATAATATAGAGGAGAACTACCCAACCTGGTTCTGCCAAAACTTCCAGGAATAAATTTCTGGAACAGGCAGATATATGGCAAGACATGAGTAATTGTCTTGATTACTCATGTCTTGAGTAATGACTACGTTCCCAAATGATTGGGGAACGTAAGAGAGGAAAAAGAGACCATAGAGAATTCTAGACAAAAGGAACAAAGCAAATTTATGCAAACAAAATGGCACTGTATTTTGTGGGGGACACATGAAATTAGGTTTTCTAGAGGAATTATATGTAGGAAATGGTATGATGGTCACACGGGCAGGGGCCACATTAGGATGACTGTGTAATTGTGTAAAAAGTGTGGTTTTCTTCTAAAGGATGAGTTTGAAGCAAGGGAATGACATAGTCAGATATTCATTTCAGATAAATTATAATTGTGTAGAGAGTGGAATTGAAGAGAACAAACAGCAACAGAGAGACCAGTTAGAAAAGAAATACCAATGTAAATGAGATGTTGGTGCCCATAGAAAAAGAAGCATAATTAAGAAACATTCTTAATTAATTCTTAATTAATGGTTGGTTTTGTGGCTAGAATGGCAAAAAAAAAAAAAAAAAAAGACCAAAGGTGATATGTCTAGTTTTCTAGCTTTGGTGAATGGATGGATATAGTATTTTTAGCTGAGACATAAAATATATCCATTGAGGTTGAATGGAAGAAGACGTCTAGGACTCTGTGATTCTCTTTTGAATTTGTTGAGTTTGAGATATTTCTGGGACATCTGAGTTGAGCTGTCTAATAACCTTTTGGATACTGGAGACTTATCCTGGGAGAGAAATCAAAGTTGAAATCGTGAAAGTATATTAGATCATCTAAGAAGGATTAACAGACTAAGACAACCAGAAGAAAGCCCAGAAACGTAAAACATTTCAATGGCTGCTGAGGAAATGGACTCCTTAAAGAAGTTCAAATTTTCAGGAAGGAGGAAGCCATGCATGTTATTTTTAAATGCAGTAAAGAGAAAGGCCTAGCAAGTTTTAAACTAAGGCATTTACTTTGGGTTTGGCATTCTAAAAATGAAGACCATTTTTATTAGATTAAATTGTCTTACTTATGATAACCTGGTTGTAATAATAGTGATATACAATGATTCTATTGAGATTATTCACTTGATCTCACTCTGAGGTTGATTTCTTCCTCTGTTGCATTATCATCTCCTTCTGATCATCCTGTCTTGTCCTTATTACCCTTCTCTCATTGATATTTCCACATTCCATCTTCTTTGGATGTCCTGTGATGTTCAAGTACTTTATAGTCACAAGTTCTCAGGGACCCTTCTTCTCCCACCAAACCCACTGAGTATCTAGAGTGGTCAGACCCCTTCCTCAGGAGGCTGGACATGAATGTGTTCACCAACGTTCAGAGTGAGCTTCTTCTAGAGGTCCTTTTAATTGCTCTGCTGAGAAGTTGTCGGTCAAGCCATGAGCAGTGCAGCTGAGTTTTGAACAAGGTAATCTTTGAATTTACCATAACCTGGCATTTTTACCTGCACCACTATTTAACACATTATAATATTTACAGTACTCATTTTTATTTTTATATATTTATATTAAGATATTACAATATTATGATACAGTGATTAAAGTTCAGAGAGGATAATATGTCTGAGGTATCTGTTCTGAGATTTCTGAGAGGTTTAGATGAATTCCAAGTTCATAATTACTTGGAAATGCATCCTATTCCCATCTCCAAAAGACAGAGAATGAGTCAAATAACTAGAAAACTCATATACTCAGAATTTTTTCTGCATTATCTATTCTACAGTAATAAAGACCACATAACAAGTCAGCATTTGTGAACTTATCCAATAAAATGGCTTCCAAAGTATGTCTCAAGATGAACAAAAATTCAGTCTCTCATACTTTCTAAATTAATAAAATTATGCAGTTGTTGCCATGGCTTATCAAAAAATCTTAAAATATAGAAGTACTTTCAGAATCCTTAAGTAGAGATTAGCCGATATTTGGCTAATCTTTAATAAAAAATGTTAATAAAATATTATATTCTTCTAATCTTTCATTGACATTATATGTGATAACTGTTAATCAACATATTCCATTAACTTATCCATCAGCCAATTTGAATAACAGAACTTAACTGAAACTTTCTCCTCCACATTTTTTCCTTCACTTTTTAGACAGGCAGGAGAATAGACTAGCTTCAACAATTCCTCAAATACACTATCTCAGGTTCCAGGTTGATCAGCCTTGCTGATGAAGTTTTTTATCAGTTACATAAGCTGTTGCTTCTTTCTGCTGCCAGATATCCTTTGGCGACTCCATAATAATCATTGTCAGAGCCTCCTGCTTTTTGGCTGCTGTCCTTTTGTCACCCATGGTCGTTTGTATTTCATATTCATTTCCTAAGAGGAAAGAAAGACCATAAGTGAAAGTATGTTCAAAAACAAAGTTTTGAATTTTCAACACTTTTCATATCTAAACAGTTTTAATAAATAGTTTCTTCTATGCTTAGAAATTTCCAAATGCTTTGACAATAGCTTTGTAACATGTAGTAGTTTACATAGTGAAAGAATTAAATGTTTATCACAATAGATGCTGTCATATCCATTTATGAAATTATAAAAGATGTATCATTTACCAGTGGAGGATAATAGCATGATTGCATACCACTATTATAATTTTTAAGAATCTTTGAAATGAAATATAAAATAATCCTTAATGTCATCATTTTATTTATTTTTAATTTTTAACTTTTTGGTAGTGCTAGAGTTTGAACTCAGGGCCTTGCACTTCGTATGTGGGTGCTCTTCCATTTGAACCATGATCACCACCCTTTTTGCTTTTAATTATTTTTCATATCAGGTCTTGTGTTTTTTGCCAAGGCTGACCTGGATGGCAGTCCTCTTATCTTTACTTCTCATGTATCTGGAATTATGGAATATACTACCACATCCAGATTGTTTGTTGAGATGGAGTCTTCCTAACATTTTTCCTACTCTGACCTCAAACTGTGACTGTCCTGATCTCCATCTCACAAGTAGCTGGGATTGCAGGCATGAGCTACTGTGCCAAGATGATGTCATCATTTTAATATCAGTCTTTGTTTAACTGAAGTTATAATGATTAATTTCATAAGTTGTTTATTTTAAAAATCATAGATAATTTTAACTCAATGTATTTTCTGCCATATATATTGTTGAGTAGGTTTTTAAATATTTTGTTAGCATATGTTCATTGTACAGGGGTAATTCATTATGACAATTCTGGATAGCTTTACATTGTACTTTGGTTAGGTTGCCCCTACCATCTCTTCCTCCTCAACCCCCTCCCACCCCACTTAAAACAATTGCAAAAGGTTTGATTGCTCTATTTCATATATGTATATGAAGTCTATCAGTCATATTCCTTCACTTTCTGAGTAGTTTTGAACTTTAAAAAACTGAACACATAGTATTTTTAAACCTTCAATAAATCATTGCTTATTTTTAATATTAAATTGCTGTACATATACAGAGTGTTTAAACTATATAATTCAGAGTGTTTAAACTATTGATTAAAAAAAAAAGCTAAAACTAGGCATATTTCCTTTGATTTATCTGGTGAAGATATGTATACCTAGCAAATTCACTCGTAGATACACTTTAATACCTTGGTCAAATACTTTGCACATGTATACCAAAATACCTAGACTACTTGTGTCCTAGAATCAGTGTTTATAATAGCCAAAACATTGAAGCAAGCCAAATGTTCACTATTAAAATTCCAGCATTAGAATCATAATGAGACATTAAAATGGATACAATCTGTGTATGTTTGTATAGTAGAATGCTATACAGCAAGAAATGAATGTTTTGTACTATATAGATTAATATAAATGAAACATATAAAAAGATTTAGTTAAAAAAGAAAGTACAAGATTATATTTGTTATGATTCCATTTTATATGAAATTCAATAACAAGCAAAATTAAACTATGGTTTTATGATATTCTATAAGTGGAAGAACTATAAAATAGACCAATTAAGTGATTACCACTAAAGTCGAGGTGACTTCTCTGGGGAAATTCTAGGGTAGAGGGTCATGACTGGAAAAGTCACACAAGAATCTTCAGCGATATTGATGCTATTCTCTTTCTTGTGGTGGTTTCTATGTGGTGGTTACATGAGTCCTTTATAATTACATTTTTTATTTTATTCATTATTCATTAAAGCAAACATTTAACTTTTACCCATTTTTCTATGTTTTGTATTTCAGAAAATTTAAAAAATTGTAAGTCCTTTAATGTAAACACACACACACACACAAAAGACAGGTTTAGAATAAGATTCAACCAGTGTATGTATCTCACGCACATGACAAGATAAAGGATTCCAAATGT